TTTGTTGTTTTTAGAACAAGTCGGCCATATCGCAGCTATGTGGCATACTGTCGTCGTTTGCTGCGTTTATCTGTAAGCTCAAGTGCAACGAAGAAGTTTTCGTCACAATGGCGGAAGATGCGCGTAAATTACTCTATGTTTTTGGAGAGGATGTGCCCATTCAAAATTCAGCTGCCTGTCCTCCCAGGAAATTGTAGGTATTTAATTCTTTACTAACCCTTGTTTATACTCACCTTTAATTTTTTTTCTTCTGTTCTGTTTAGGGAAATATCTACAGATATCGTTGGAAGTATACGGGAAGGTTTAATGGACTCTTCTCCTGCTACTCGTGGTGGAGCTCTTTTGGAAGCTGGACGGTTAATCCGATCGAGGCATGCAGTTATTCTTGGGGAACTTGACAAGTGGCTCTTCAGCGCTATAAAAGGTGAAAATCAAAATGTTTTATTATAAAAATATGTATATACTAGTCTGTACCAGTTTTTCAAAGTGCATTTTCCAATATTTGTAACTATGCAGGGCACAATCACCATCCAATCGTTTTTAGCACCAAAGTAGACGGTCCATCCTCACATGTCCCATGGTTGACAGCGCTTATCCGATTCGTTTCTCTGTCATGCAGCCGCCATACAAGGCTATAGGATTTGTATGTGGTTTGGGTAATGGCTCGAAGATCCATGAGCTTATTTCCTCGTTAATATGTTGAATGTTACTTGAAAATGGTTTTCTTTGGGAGGCCGAGGTAGCCTTGCTAGAGCATTCTCAAATCTCAAATACAAGTTCGTAGGACGTTCTACATTGGAGCGTCGTTTGTTGGCTTTTCATTGGGATTCTTTCAAGAGAGCGTCTTCTAGAAATGTTCCACAACGCGATTACTTATCAATTTGTTGACACTTGATACTTGAATGACCCTTCTTATGAAGAATTGTACTGGTCACAGTGCATTTTCGTCGGTTTTATTGCTGGTTCAACTCCTAGTAGTACCTCTAGTCACAGCAAGAAGAAGAACCTTTGTTGCGCTTTACATGTTGATCTACCGTTTTTTTAAACAGACTGTTCATGTGCATTACAGATCTGATTCTTGATCCTGACTCTTACGTTTACCTAGCAGCAATAAATTCACTAGCAGAAGCTGCGTGTTATGGATCCATTTATCTTCGTGAAATGATCACACTGTTCAAGAAATATAACAGTTCGGAAGCAACGGACAGCAAAGTAAGACCTCTGTTATCGTTATCAACGGCATGCATATACATATATATATATATATATGTGTGTATATGTACATTTATATGTATATAGATGTGTAATGCATGTATATGTATGTGTATATATACATATGTATGCATGAACGTATATACAAATATATATGCATACATGTATACGCGTATATATACACATATGCATATACATATACATATGTGGAGTTATCTACACTTCCCAGTTTTAAATAAGTATGTTTCAATTGTTTGTGGAGATTATCATTATTACTCCTCACAACAGTTTACGCCTCGTCGTAACTGAGTGTTCCTGAGTATCGAGCTATGATGTACAGCGGTACAGCGGAGATTCATCCCCCTGGCAGGGTCTCCCAACCTGAGAAGGAGTCCGGCGCTTCCATCAGGAAGCCCAGCCAAGAGTAAACCATTACCGGGATACGTCAGCGTCCTAGTACCAAACTACTCGCATGGTGGCAAATCTCCCTCTGATCCGCAAGGACGGCGGCTGCCTGGGGTGGTGACAACGTGGGATAGACTTTGGCCTAGCTGACCTCGGGACTCCAGGGAACTACAATAGCTAGGCCAGCAAAACTCCGAAGTAATGGAGGTTATGCTGGGGCCAGCATAACCAGTGATGACGGGCCATCCAAGTATCGTTTTTATTATATTATTATACGACGCGTAATGAAATCTAACACACCGACAGTATGCGGCTCCCAGCGCATGTGTTCGATTGGTTTTGCTCGCATTAATTGTCAACAGAGGTTTCCGAACACTGCCTGTTGTTTCGGCTACTGTTTTAGCATTTCGTTTTCGTAATGCATGGCATGGAATGCAGCCCGAGTCGATGCCCCTTAAAATCTTAGAAATTTCCGAGCTAAGGCGTTCCCACATGGATTAGAGGAGAGCGTTGGAGGGCCAGAACCAGCATCTTGCTTACTCATGGGCTGCATCACAAGCCGCTCTCCTCTACCCCTTCCAGTGGGCTTTGTTATTTGAAATAAAAACTCATTATCGACGGATCGTTGCGAACAGGTACACCTCTTTTAGTACCTGGCAATAGTATTGTTTTTTTGAGTCTACGAGGTTTTTTTTTTTAGAAACGGGAACAGTTAGCAGTAAGGATTTCTTACAAAATGTGGGACGATGGTGTGCTTTAAAGCATTTTGGTCGCTTAAAATAGAAATAGTTCATATGAAATGCTGATAGCGCCTTCGTTCCCCACCGCATACACCTGCGGTCTGGGATTTTGCAAATATCTCAGCATTTCTTACGAGTTATAATTCGAAACATAACCTGCCATTAAGAAGAAAAAGGCAGTAAATAAAAGAGTTACAATTGTGATTATAACTAAGCCTCAGCTTAACTGGGTTCAATGCCGATATTGGCTCCCCAGATCAATCCCGTTGACGGGTGATTGCTGATGGCAAAAAGATCGATAGAACTAGCTGAGAGACATGCAAAGCGAAGGACCCGGATGGTGTAGTGGTGAAGTGCGCTGCTCCCCGGTAAGGGCAACTAGAACAGTTTCTAATTTTTAAAATTGTTTGGAATTGAGGTTTACAAAGGGATGAATTGGTAAATACAAGTCTGAACCAAAAAAGTTAAAAAGTGGTGGCGCGCGCAACAGGAAACCTGAACCGCATATTATGAGACGGGGAACTTAAACGTTATAGACAAATATATGTAGATTGCAATTGTTTTTACATCAATTAACTAGCTTCTTTATGAGCTGAGATACCTGCGTTCAAGATTGAAAGCGAACATTGTTTTCGCAACACTTATTTAAATTACAATCACCTCCTAACAGCTTACCGGTTCATGTGGGAGGTGTTCCTGGGCGTGGGGCTGCGATGCACAGCGGAAGAATTCATCCTTTCGGCAAGATCTCCCAGGCTGATAGGGAGTCCGGCGTTTCCATCAGGAAGTCCAGACAAGAGTAAATCAATACTAGGCTCCACCACCGTCCTGGTAACAAGTTAGTCGCATGGTGGCAGATCTCCCTATTATCCACAACGGCTGCCGACTGCCTGTGGTGGACGACCTGTGGTGCACTTTTGCTAGGCTGATCTTGGGACTCCAGGGAACCACAATAGCCAAACCAGCAATTTCCGAAAAAAGTGGGAATTATGCTGGTGCCCGCATAACCAGTGCAGACGGTCCATCCAAGTATCCAAGTAATTATTTAGATCACAATGATGCTGAGAAATTTGGAAAACTCCCGACCGCAGGTGTCTGCGGTGGGAATCGAACGCGCTATTACTCCTTCCGAGGGCTAACGCGTTCACCACGACACATGATGTTCCTTTGTTTCGAATTTCTCTCAGGTAGTTTTCTGTAACTTATTTAAATCAATGGGTTTCTTCCGTCACCTGTTACCGAAACAGATATTTAAGCAATAGTTGTCGTGCCTGTGTGCAGGTGGCGTTAAAGCGGTTTTTGATTAGGAAAGCAATTTATCGATGGATAAAAATTCTGCTGTTGTCTCTTTCATTTCTTTATTTTTTGGGAGTTTTTTTTTCAGCGGAGCTTTTCATTGGTCACAGCGGGCTTCAACTTTGTTCTTCTTTTCTTTCCTATATAAATAGCTATTCTCGAGGGGTTTATAACAGGTTTAAATCCTGTAATGATAGTAACTTGTTCGTCATCACAAATAAAGATAAAGTTAGGACCAAAGAGAAGTTGTTGCCGTTTTACAATTTTAAATTGTAAATCCAGGCTGCTTCTGATGGATCAGACGATAGTGATCATATTGCTGGCGTCCACGTTATTCTTCGCTCCCGGTTGTGCGAAGTGTTAGGGAAAGTATTTCGTGTACTCGGTATCTTGATGTTATATTTGTCTTTTTCACTTTCCTCTTTGAATCTCATATTTTGCCTCCCCGCTAGTTGGTCATAATTTTAAGGGAAGTAACTTGCCGTTTATCGCTAAAGGTGGTCTTTTGTGTGAGGATAGTATATTTAGGTGATATGAGTCCTGTATGGATGGATGAGTCAGCTGGTGTGTTCTTGTCATGCCTAAACGATGAAGATGAAATAATTAGAGCAAGTGCTCTTTCATCTATGGCTGAACTTGTTTTGGCTTGCCGTGGACGAAATGTGGGGAAATATCTTGAAGAGGTAACTTTTTCTTCTTTCGTGTTTCCCTGATAGTTTCACTTACTTTCCATCTTTTCGTGTACATACACGTTTAGATACTTTTTGCTGTGGAACGATTTCTAGTCTCCGATACTAGCGCTTTGGTGAAACGTTCAGCTGTGAACCTTCTTCGTCAGATTATTAAATCTTGTGATATGGACATATTTGAGGTATTTTATCCTTTTTTTGTCAATTTAGTTTACTTTTATGCGTTTTGCAAGAGTTATAGATAATCGGAGATCGCTTACGGGATCTGCAACGGGACTTGTTGCGTTTATGGCGTTGGGATTCGGACCACGTTGTTCGTTTGCACGCAGAATTGGCTCTTGAAGAAATGCGTGTTGCCGTTAAGGCCGTACTTAACCGAGAAACTACTTGTCCCAATGCTGTCACTTTGTAATTTAGTTTAGCAGGTCTTTTATTTGCTGTGAAATTTACTCGTATTCTTGTTAGGAATTTACTGGAGTCGCGTTTCACTGCCGTTACATGAAATATTACGGATATGATAAACGTCCTTTCAATAAGTAGTATGCCATACGTATATTACTGGAATAGAACCATTTTATATTTCTTTAACAGTGTTCATAGTGGTTTCATTACGTCATACTGATTACCGTTATGTTACATAGAAACCGTTCTTTCGTTAATGTCTAAGAAAGTGGATGTGGCAGCGGTAGCGGCTAAAGTGCAGGAGTTCTATGCAACAAGCAATCCAGATCGACGGAAACTCCTTGATGAAGATTTGTGCATGTTCAAAAGAAGTATGTGATTACTATTCTTTTGTTAGTGCATAAGTTCTTGGTTATGTGTACTGTTTTATGGAATTTTTTAAGGATTTCCATGCGAGGATACGGTTGCAGCATGTATTTTACTAATGGGGTCGCGTTATCCTGCCAATGTACAGTATTTCGCCGCAGTCTCTATGTATGAGACAATTCGTCATCGCTATGAGGAATGCGTGGCAAATGTCACTCTGGTTGGGGGTTTTTTCAAGCGTGGATTTTTCAATGAAAGACATACAGTTATAGATGGAAGTCTTGAAGTCTTTTCTAATCGAAAGTCTGACATCGAACGCTCATGTCCAAATGCAGTCGATCACAAATAAACTGTCATCAACTCTTGCGATACTTTCTTTGTATTGTATGCCCGATGTGTGGTCAGATCCAGTAGCAACGCTGACAAACATATGGGCTGCGCAACCAGAACTTTTGCTCAGGTATTCTGCTGAATTGTTAATATTTCGCTCAATACTGCATTGTCACTCTCCCAGTGCTACGTTTATTTGTTTTTCAAGAGTACTCGCTGAAATTGCAGCAGAATTTTCAAATATACAGATGCCTCTTACCCAGCGAAGTAAGCTGAAGACTGAACTTCACAAAACTTCTGAGGTTAGTGAATGAAAAGCAGGTCAGAAACTCAAATTTTCGAATTTTCACCTTGTTAAACTAGTTCTAAATTCTTCGATATTAATCCGCCTGTTCTGCACCGGCCACATTGTCGTTGATCGTTCATTTTACAATAGTGGATTACAGGGTTCCCATAAAAAATGTCTCACAGGTTTATCTGTGGTTTTTTCAAAACGTGCACGAACTTTCAAGAACGTTATAGGAAATTGTGCTGAAAATGTGTTTAGGATATTATCCGTATTATTTCAACGGTCATGGGAGCAGATGATGCATCGCCATCCACGAGGCAAGCAGCAGTTGAGTGTGTGGAACAGTGGGTGAAGTTGCCAGGCATAGGATTACATCAGTGGGCTTCTGTTCTTTCGGTTGTCTTCGGTGCTGTTTCCGAGGACAGGTAAAACATTAGAGTTTCTTGTCTAGGTTCAATATTCTAAATCGTGTCATTTCAGCGCGGCCCTTACTAACCTTCTTAACCTACTAGCAGCAAACGATGAATTGACTTCCATAGATCAGCTCGTTTATGACATTTGCCACTACATTACGACCGCTCTTTCCCAGGTTTTTAATTTTTATGATTTCATTTGTTCTCTTCTAGAAATGGTGAAAAAATAAGTTTGTTTTGGGCTCTTTGTCTGGGGCATGTAATGTCGGGTAATTTTGTATGATACAGTTCCACTCTTGCACCTATTTTATATCTCGACACTCGTCCAAGGGAGCCATTCACGCAGAGTAGGTGGTCTAGTAGCAGACTATATGAGAGATGAAACATTATTCTGTATACTAGGGTGCTTTGTAGAATGATAATTATAGTGGATATCATTATAAAAGCAAGCAACCAATATCCTCATCACTAAAAACATCTTCAATGTCGGTTTTTACCAGAGGAATTTATTCATTTTTAGAAGATCGCAACAGATCTTGCAGACGATATTCTTAGTGAAGATGTCGTATCTCTTATCTCTGCTGTCTGCAATATAGCCGTGGTCTCTGTACCAACATTGTTAAGAAACTCTAAACACAGTCCTGCTTTATTATGGTAGCTCGATACCTTTATTTTTAATATTTTTACAATTTTTTTCTTCATAGTCTATTAGAAAGCAGAGAAGAACTAATGTCCTATTGCTTGGTATAATGTGGTTTTTTATGTACATATTTCCATCCATTTGGAGATTAATGGCTAGCTAACTAATAAACTTTTAGCGATCTTTGCTCATTATTCTCGAGTATATGTTCATGTCAAGGGTCGTACGCTGTGGATGAGCTGATCTCAGATTTACCGTCGTCTTTTTTCATGACCCTTCGTGAACATATAGGATCGGCCGCTTCTGGTAACAAAAAAGACGAAATGTGCAATGTAAGCTATCTTTCAGTTTTTCGTTTGCATTCAATATACTGTGGAGTTGGGAAAAATGCAGCATTGTACAACAGAAATTTCTATTCATTATTGGGCTTCTTATTCGTTCGATTCAGATTGCATCGGCTGTGAGCTCATACTATGCAGAAGTCTGTCGTTCTGCCATTGACAAGCTCTCATTTCCTGTCATTGATCGCTTTGATGAGTACGATAAGCAGCAGAAGGAACAATTTCTTAGGTTGTCTTATTTTTATTTTAAAATTTGTTTCTATATATGTGTTATAGCTTTATCTGAAGTTCCACCTTGAGGGTGAGAAAAGTCAGATTTAGTGCACTAAGTTGCCTACTGGTTTCATTTTAAAGTTGTTACATTATATAACAACACTCTGTTTGATAGGTATCGAATGGTTCGAAGTGAGGTATCGATTGACGCTTACTTCATTACGGGTAGAGACGCCTTGAAGTTCCTTAACATGGAATTAGAGGAGACCATTACTAAAGGTGATTTGTGCAGGTAAGTATTTCTATAATAATGAATTGTATCGTTTTCACATATAGTGATTTTGTAGAACTGAGTGCATAATGTTTTTGTGGGAGACTGTGGCAGACTACCTTTCGGAGTCAGATTACCTCGAAATATATGACAACCTTAAACTTTGCATGCAGTTATCAAATATTGGTGAAGGGGCAGATGAAGACCGACTAGCTAATACTGTTATGAGGCATCTTTATGCCCTTTCTCATCTCATACAGGAGCACGACGATGTGAGTTAATCGTTTATTTTATTATTTCATTCATTATTTTTACACCATATAGTATAATACATGGCTGTAAAGTTTTCGTAAGCGTTTTGCGATTAATACAATGAACGACGTGCGTTCTGTACGATGATTCGTGGGGCCTGGATTGGGAATATGAACTCTGTAAAGGTCATTTTGATCCTGATGATTTATTTTAGCATATACAACCCTTCTGTGATTGGAATCGATGATTGGCTTATTCAACGCAGAAATGACGCGTAGGATGGTTAGAGTTCTATTCTGCATCTAGAAATGCTGCACAGGAACTTTTCTGTAATAATTGATTGACCAGTAATTTAGTTGGGAACTGATTCTTATTTCATTTTTAATCGCTGTGTGAGTCATAACTATTGTATGTAATGTGCAGATGTAAAACATACCGAAATCCATACAGCATAGTTTGCAAAACGCTTCCATATGCTGGTAGTAATGTCTTCGTACGATGGACCGACCATAGTAACATACGGTAATTAGAAGCACACATGCTATTCATTCCTGGAGAGTGGTAGGGCAAAGTTTCTGTTTTAATCCCATAATGTTCATCTCAAATCTTCTAGTTATCGTAAAGTTATCATCTATTTTGGGAAAACTAGCACATCCACAATGGTTGTAAAGTACGTGTCGTCCCATGCGGCGTGGATGCTAACAACTGCGTAGGCGTTGTGTTAAACACCTCTAGTGTATTATTCTTTCAGCTTTTCTTTATCTTAGGAATAAATGGTATTCAAATATGCAAACATAATGACATTACTGCGATGCTTTCTAAAATTGCAGGCCATTCATTTGGAGGGACATGTCATACGCCTGATTCTTCCATTTGTATCTCGGAAAGCAGTTAGCAAGGAAGCGCTACGGACGCTTGAAAAGTTCGTTTCGGAGCGTTCAAATGGAGTAATGGTTTGTGAGGCTATACAATTCTGAGCATATCACCTCTATCATATTTAAAGGATGGAACATCTTGTGCATATTTTAGCTTGTCAGCGATGATATATCACAAATTTGCTACACGTTTTTTATGAACGAGTCGAACGCTCAGGAATTGAGATTGATGGCGTTGAAATGCATAGGCTACGTCTTGTCCATGAAGCCTAGCCATGATGTTATGGTATGCCTGTTTTCTTCAAAGTTCATTCTCATGAACTAATATGTATTCGTTTCAGACAATTTTGAATAATATTATGGTGCCGCATTTGCGAGACATGGAAGTTGAACAGTGTATGCAATCAGCTGAAACATTGGAGAATAAAAAATTTCAAATAAGCATTTTCGCTTGTTTATTCGCAAGCCTAAACCACAAAGGAGGAGGTGGATCCTATAATTTTATTCCGTATTTTAACCTGACCTTAATTATGGACTTTATTATCGACTAACCTTTAAGTCCCTGCGACAAGTATGACTGATTCACCAAGTGTGGTAATCTTCCGTCGGGTATTTCCACTGTTTGAACAGATTCTTGAGACTCAGAGTTCGTCTAGATCAATTGGAGACAAGGTTTCTTTCTAGAAATCCGTTCGCGAAACAACATTATCGTAAAGTTGCTTTCCATATAGGTTTGTGATGCAGTGCGTAATGCAGTGACCAATTTCCCATCGGAGCATCTACCTCAAATGTTTCCGCTGGTTTCACTACTTCTAAACAAGGCACTATTTACTAATCCTGCAGCTGGAAGTTCTCTGGCTAAAACTGTTGTTCTTGTTAGTTTACAATTGTTCATTGCTTCATATTCTAGCATTTCTAAAAGTTAAGACCTAGAAGTTTGTCGAGGATTCCTTGATAATGTACTTTTGTTTGATAACTACCCACTGAGATTTCAAAAATGTTTCATCTTCCTAAACTCATTTTGGAATAGTTGGTAATCCAAAAAAACCTATAAAACTATACTCGAGATAATGTGGGCTCTACATCTCTTCTGTTATTTTTCTCTTTCAGGTTTTTGGTCATTGTTCTTCAACAACGCCTCAATTGTGTTCTTCTATACGGCAATGGTTAGAGTCATTTGCACATAATATGCCATCACAGGCTATTGAAGAGTGGTTGTCGCTAATTTACCAGGTTTAATAATGATTATATAAAGTAGCGACAAAGTTGCGGAAGTTTTAGTCAGTAAGAAGACAAAAGACCAATCTTTAATCGGGAATTTTGCAGCATCTAAACTGAAGGGAATTATGCAATGAAAATATTGAGCACCGTTGGGATCATATATTGGAGCAAATGATATGATAATACTACACTTTAGATCATGAAGAAGAACTATAAAACACTGCGTGCTAACGGAGAAGACTCATTACCTGCAATTTCAAATGCAATTTTGATTGCTGGTCAGGTAAGCATAGGGGGAAAGTAACGCATTGTTGCACTACTTGTCAAAATCTACTGTTAGAAGTTGTCCGTTTGATCAACATAAACAGAGATATACATCTTTTCAGTACAATACTATAGTTTTATAACTCGTATGTAATGCTGAGATATTTGCAAAACTCCGGACGGCAGGTGTATGCGGTGGGGAACGAACACGCGCTGTTGTCCTTACCGAGTAGCAGTGCACTTCACCACCACACCATCCGGGTCCTTCGTTTTGCCTGTCTCTCAGCTAGTTCTATCGAGGCAAAACGAAGGACCCGGATGGTGTGGTGGTGAAGTGCGCTGCTACTCGGTAAGGACAACAGCGCGTGTTCGTTCCCCACCGCATACACCTGCGGTCCGGAGTTTTGCAAATATCTCAGCATTACATACGAGTTATATTTCGCAACATACCCTGCCATTAAAAAGAAAAAGGCAGTAAATAAAAGGGTTAAGATTGTGATTATAGTTTTATTTGTAATGTTTAGGAACAGTTACAACACATCACTGTGCTTAAAGTATTAGTTTTAGATGTTAACAGAATCCCAAGAACCATGTGTTGTACGGTTAGCATCGCAAGTGTTGGCGGTAATAGCAAATCAATCGATTTCTTATGGAGATGATGGGCCGCGCCTAATCCTTGCTAGTCACGGACCAGAGCTTGTTAAGGTCAGCTTTGGTGCAACCATCGGTGCTTGTTATATTCTACTGGCAAGGTTCTCATAACGTTGTTTTAAAACATGTTTTTTGCCATACTGTCTCGGTTATATTTCGACAGCAGGAACGCTGGATGCAAATTTTAAGAATTTCGTTTAAGGCAATATTTGTCCGCATCCAAGTTGAGCTCATAAGAGCTACTGTCGAATCCTTGTCGGAAGTGCTATTCTTTTTCATGAAGGAGTTTTCAACAGAAACAAGGTAATATTCGATGTTTGATTCATGGAATTCTATGACTTTCGGGGAATAAAAAACTCGAAAGAAAAGAAGTTGATTGCAGATGTGTGTTAAATGGGTTAGACCACGGCGACTCTCCTCTTGTGGCCGCAATGTTTAGGGAAATTGGTAATTTACGTAATTTCAAACAGATGACTCTCCGACTAAACATGGCATCACGAAAAAGTGCTTGTTCGTAACCCGTTAGGTAACCAGCATCTATCGATTATCACTTTACTATTCGTTTTTCAAGAATCAGTGCCTCTCATTTCTGCTTTTGTAGACGCGGATAATATTTTGTTATTATAGGTACTTTGGTCAGTAGTTATTTTCGTAGGGATGATCATGGTATACTCCAACCCAACCGTATGCATACAAAAAAAGCTTCGGAGTTGAAGGATTTAAGCTCTGGTCAAATATGCAATGCTGCGCATGTTGCATGTTCGCTGTAACTTACATGTATTGAGAAGTGATGGTAACCATTTAACTGTATATTAATAGTATTTTTATTATTAATAATTCAACATGTTCACAAAGATCATGTAGCTCAATCACATGTTCGTTTAATAAGTAGAGTCACATCTTTGCTTAAATACTTGCGTTGCTTAATGTTCCCAACGTTTCAATTTGGAATGATAATTTTTGATACTTGTCGTACGGGTGCACGTCTCTAGGAGAGATCAATGAATGATTAAGATCACTTTTATCACTAAAAGACTTCCAGGAATGTTGACATCCAATTCAAAACAGTAGAACTAGTTTCCGGAAACGGAGTTTTTACGCTATAACTCGTAGAGTTTAAAAAATTGACTTTTACCTGACCCATGTATTCTTAGTTGGCGGCACAACGTTTATTTCACAATCTTCTAATCTTTCTGCGGCACTTTCCTGCTCTAGAGGCTCGGAAGTGTCATATCATGTATTTTACATAGTGCTTTGGCAATATCAAAGGAACGTTGTGAGAGTAGATTCCACTCGGTTTATCCCATGGTCCTCAACTGATTATTCGATTAGTCGCAAAATTCGTTTTCATACTGCAACGCTAAACATCGAAAGGTACTAAACCGTTCTAATTCACAAGTGTTGGCTATGCCGCTATGGTAAAGACCTGGGAACGCCCTAGCACAGATATCTCGGTATTTTGTGAATAGTCATGTTTGATTGACCAGCAGTCACCGTGATTACAATTCTTCAAGCAGAAATCGGAACAACATGTGAAAGTCTACCATCTGCGCATCTATTGTTTGGTGAAGAGTAATCCATATCCTTAGCTACATTTAGGAAAGTGAGAGCACGTACACAATGTTCTAATGGCATATGAATGTGCCAGACTCACGTCTAAAGACACCTGAGTAATGGGGTAAAACTTTATGTCACCATAAAACATTCGCCATTAAAGCTGTTTTTGTGTTTTGATGTTGATCCGAAACAATTTCTGTGAGTCTATATTTTCGGTTCCACTATGTTAAGAACATCATGATTTCTTCTGTTATGCCTTAGTGCTGTACTGTGCACCTATAACAGTGGCATGTCGATCTACTTGTTTTAGCGACATGCTCAAATCGTGTACATAATGATAAATTAGTCAGTCGAACTTTTAAGACTCGTACTAAAACATTACAATATCCGAGCTGTTGGTTTTGATCTATTCCTTGAATTAGAACTCTGTTTGCAGACATTCATTCCAAATCACAACAATGACAACAGAGAGGAAGTAAAGCCATAATAATGCTGAGATATTTGCAAAGCTGGGGATCACTGATGCCTGCGGTGAGATCTAACACGCTATTACGTTTTCCGGGGCTACGTTCACCACCACACCATGCGAGTCCTTCGTTTCGCCTTTCTCTTAGCTCTTAGATCAATCGTGTTGATGGTGATGAATGCGTTAGCCCACCGAAAGGGTAATAGCGTGTTCGTTTCCCACCGCAGACACCCGGGTTCCTCAGTTTTGCAAATATCTCAGCACTGTTATGGTTATATTTCACATGATATCTTCCTTTTAAAAAAGAACAGGTAGTAAATAGAAAAGTGACCACAAGGAGGAAATATTCACATAATTCCGAGTAACAATGAATATAAAGAGTCAGCATGGAGCTTGCTGAGGTAATGTAACCGAGAGTGGAAAGTAGGCAACATTTTCTAAAAAAGCGTAATGATTAATAACTTCATAAAATCATAAGTAAAAAAAATAGCGTGGGAAAGCTTACTTGAACTTTAGCTTTCATCACTAAGAGCTGCGTAGTTCTCGCAGATAGTAGGTCCGTAAGGTGAGATGTATTCTGTACATGCCGTTGAGCAGCTTCCAAATCCATGGAGATTTCAACACAGTGACGAGATAAGTCATGTGATATTTGAAGCAGTGACATTATGAAACCATATATATCCTGCAATAGTGTACAGGTGTATGCGGTGAGGAACCAACCTTTCCGGGGATTAACGCGTTCACCACTACACCATGCGGGTCCTTCGTTTTGCCTGTCTCTCAGCTAGTTCTATCAATCAGCGCCATCAGCAACCACTCGTCAGCCTTAACTGGGTTCAACGCCGATTTGGGTTCCCAGATCAATCCCGCTGACGGGTGATTGCTGATGGCCGAAATCGATAGAACTAGCTGAGATAAAGGCGAAACGAGGTACCCGCATGATGTGGAGGTGAACGCGTTACTCCCCGAAAAGAACAATAGCGCGTTCGTTCTCCACCGCATACACCTGGAGTTTTGCAAATATCTCAGCATCATTGAAGTTATATTTCGCAATATACTCTGCCATCAAAAAGAGTAGGCAGTAAAGAAAACGGTTAAGATTGTTATTATAAACAAACAACGGTTTGCGACCAGTCACATTGCTTTGCAGTAGTGGTTCCTCACAAGAAGGACAAAAAACAGCAGAAAGACAAACACGTATTGCGCGCCAAATCTGGGAACTCCTGAAGGTCTCAAACAGCCTTACGAATTAGAAAAGTACGATGACCACAAGTTGTAGAAATTGGAAACCTCGTCGTATTCATTGTACATAATTTCTACCAAACAACTACTACTTCAAGGCGTTGGTGGTGGAATGATTTCTGTTTTCACAAATTTGCTCTTTAAAGAAGGGTATGCTGATAAAGATGTCTGTATATATATCCTAGCTTAGGCATGATCTCAACACTGATGATTCCAACATTGTGTGAGATGAGCTATGTGCAAATAATGCCTTTTTTTTAAAATACCTCCATGTCAGCGTCCATGAAAAATGATGAAGTCATTCCTCTGAGGTAATTCGTATGAGCATTTATAACAGCATCCAGATCAACAGCATCATCAATCCAGCAGCGTAGTCGATTGAACCACTGGTCGACCTGGAAGTTCTCCTTGCTACCCTTTAATATCTGTCTAGAGAAACTTTGCAGTGCACACGGCGAACATCTTCACATTCTTTACTTCTTTACACATCTTTCTGGTTCTCGACGTCTTTACGAAAAAATTCCATCGGGCGGAAGATAAAATATTGTTAGAGAAAATAGCTGTTCTATCACTATGAACGAAATAAGGCTCATATTAGTCTGACTCTTCGAAAACCACGTAGTTATCACATAGTTATTACAACCATCAGTAGATTCTTGCTTATAAAAGCTTATAGTTAATATCCATAAAGGTTCCTAATTAGCAGTCTTCATCCTCTTTCAGTTTTCTCCTAACCAATCCATATTACTTTTTTCCAATGCTCTTTTTCAGTTCCTCTTCTTTTCTCACCTTTCTGCCTCATTTTTCTAACACCATCTTTTTTTTCTACTTCAATTTCACTGCGCATCACTGTCTGCGTGCATCTATACCTACTTCACTTCTATGAATGTCCTCTCCCTCTTTCTTTTTCGATAACCTCAAACTAACCCTCTTCTTCTTTTTCCACCTGGACCATCAACCAACCATTTATTTACACCAAACCCTTCTATTCACTAACATTCACATGCTTACATTTTTCCGAACTCAGGTAAATGATGCAGCACATTTCACAAACTTCACCCTCATATTTCTTCTTTCGAGAGGTTTTTCAGATATGACCTAATTACCCGTAAAACTATGTCTTCCAAAAAACTGCTGCTTTCACTACATTATGACGAGTTTATTAAAAACCTGAAATTGTCAAAAAATTTAGGAGTTGGTTTGTGAAAGATATATTGCTTTTCTTCTTCATAGAAACTTAGTTCAGAAACCGATTACACTGGACCTCTGAAGATATTCAAACGTGAAATACCAAGACCAAAACTTAAATTAGAACCTTTTTTTTATTTTTTTTTATTAAATCTATTACAACGAAATCAGTAAACATACCACTACAGTGATATATATCCTTATTTTTAGTAATGTCCGTTCGCAAACTGACAACAAACTTGAAACGAGGCGAAGAACAAAGATGGGCTCTAAATTTTAGTATTTACTGCTCATACATTTGGACGTATGCATAAGGAATTTACAAGGAAACCTTTTGTAAACTTAGATGTACTTCTTGCATTCTGCCTTACTTCATTGATCTGATCCGATATCATCAACAAGCACATTTCCACAGGCCAAATAAAATGAAACAGAGACTCATACCTTAATATTGTTATAAGGGGATATAAATTAAAGTTACTAGAAAAAGAAGCAATAAAAAGATACCTCTTCTCGGTATCTCTAAATATTTCTCCTATAGGCCCATTTGGACGATAAACAGGTCGAAGTGGGTGTACAAATTGTAAACGCGAAGAAGTATTAGGCGAATCGTTAGCCTGTAATCATGGATCGCACTGAAGTTTAAAACTTCTAAAGCTACGTTCAGTTTGAAAACTTAAAGCATACTGATGAAAGTGTATCCAAATTAATTTTAAAGTGGAAACGTCGAACAGAGCTTGATAACGTCACAGCAACCATGAGCGCATTATTTGCATCTCGTTGTGACAACTTGCTGCGAAGGCCGTGCGTTCGCTCACTGAATTTCTAGCAATATTACATAAAGGATAAAGGATAAAGCTCTTGGTGTTGATTAAGCATCGTTGGAGGTGATTGAATGCATACCGGCCTTTACAGTGACTCGGTGGCCTACAGATAAATCGAGTCAGTTCCGTTATTCTCCCAAACAAGTCTGGTATCAATTTACCGACTCCGGATGGATGGAGGGCTTCGTGACCCTCGGATGCAAGGATCGATCCTACATGCATTTCAGGGCGCCTCCGACCACTGCGTTACACACCCTTGGCAATAATACATATCTCAAGAAATATCAAATATAAGCAGGCATACCAGAATTGCTGATAAAGAACGTGGGAAAACTGAGAATCGTGAAGAAGCAAGAAACTGCGAGCGACATCAAGATGGGCTATCAATTGATGGTCAGACACAAAGCTGTGCACAACGCTTCCACATACAAGTAAACAAATTTCTCTCACTATGCGCTCCAGCTTATATCGTTCACCTAAAGTTAATCTATACAAAGAGAGTAAAAAATGAACTGGACGAATGAGTACGGGACATGACTGTGCAACAAAAATTCAACGGAAAGTATAATTGACAGGAAAGGTGTTCCACCTTGCACATAGAGCGACTTCGGGCTCAATTGCGTGGCAATGATTTCTCTTGCCTTATCAAGGTTGTCGCTACATTTTTTCACGTCCACAGACTTCCATGATTTACCAGTTTTAAGTATCTGAAATGTCCAAGAAGCTTATGAGCAGGGTGAGCAAATATCGCACTACTTACGTATTCAGCTACCCAAACAGGAAAAAACGGTGGAATCCAATGAAGCTTGTATCCATAATTCGGACAATATGTGATCATTTGCTGAAATGTCTGATAAAAGATTTCCTGGTGTGATATTAAATCATGGTGCAAACGGTTAGTGATTTCCATCTAAAGCAGGAAATAGTAAATGTTCAACATCACGTGAACTAGTTTAGAAGACGAATAGAAGATAAAACCCAAACATTTCTGCAAAACGGTGAATCTTCTAAAGCAAGATGGATTATTAAGTAGCTCATTTTTGAAATCGAAGAACTGAATTGTAAAATTGAGAGACCTAAACATCAGTGACTAGAGAACGATTTGTCGAATACTCACAAAATCACATTCTTTGACTTCAAACCCACTCATCCAGCGAACGATAAATCGACACAACACACCCGCACAGCATTCGAGTATCTTGTCAACCACACTGAAACCAACAACGATTGGTTGAAACAAAATCAAGATGGAAGAAACATACTATGCCATAACCGACTAACAAATTTTCCACAACGGAACTATATACAGTGTATAACAGCTCTAAAAGTGCTGTTCCCGTTTCGTTACGAAGATTGTACAATCTATGTAGGATTGTTAAACGATCCCTCCATCTTTCTACTGCGGACAAGATTTGCAGGAAACACAACGGGCGACACTGCAATTGAAGCAAGTGCTATTATCCGACCATAGGAACTAAGAAAGTAGGAATAAATGAAAGACATACATAAGAAGGAATATCACCGATATCATGTATGTACTCGTGAAGAATTTCCTGCGATGATAACAAAAACGCCTAAACCAGTTGGAAATTAAGTCTTCTTTAAATACGTACCGGACCTAGTTTTCTTAAACCATTTTAATGAGCTTGTGACTCTTATTTTTCTAAATATTTTTTCAATTCAATGCCAATACTCACAGGAAATCTGGATGAATTCCTTGTTACGCCGCTCAAAAGCGATATATTCTTACGCTCATATGATTGCCTTCCAAGTTCAATAATACTTGATAAATAAACGATACAGGTTATAAAATATAAAACTACACCTAACCCCATGAGACAACAGTAAAATATATTACACGCACACACGCACTACTTCGACGAGAAAGAAGACGTCAATACCCCAACGGATCACATTTTAAGGAAAAACAGCAAAGAAAACCTTTCTAAAGATCTTTAAAATAACCTGAACGATGAGATCGTTGCTATGTTCACGAGGAACTCGAACAATATCAGCATGTAGATGAGCGACTGAAAGCACACTTTCTACGACTGACCTTTGTGACTGAAACAACTGTATCGAGAACGTATCATTCGATATAAGAAGTCTTGCCTAAAATAACTGAACCTCTGACAACGAGCAGGAGTCCAAAACACGCATGTAGCCGCTACTATCCTTACGGAAATATGATCCCTCTAAGCCTTGCAAAGCTCCACATAACTCACGACATAAAGTGTCTTCAGGTACGCCTAAGGTTAACAAAAAACTTAAAAGAAAAAGTAAAAGTGGCAAACAGAAAAAATCTGGAGATCCAAAAGACAAATATAACAGTTTGCACCAAGACGGTAAAAGCTGTCTTATTCCTTTTAGTTGACAATGTGATCAGTGATAAGGAAACCGATTTGGAAACAATAGGTAAAGTTAAAAACAAATCTTAACTATCTCTAGGTCTGGTCCCCAATACTAGGTATAATCGTTTTCACTTATTTATATAATAATAATTCAGCGGACAATCCAAAACAACTGACTTGGCGTAGTACCCTTTCGTGAGTGAAGCGGCTGCTTGTATACTGATGGATATCCGTTTACAACACGTGCGGACCCAATGTTCGGAGCAATATCGGCGCGATGGCAGGAACCTGACGTGTCCCCACTAAATAAGAATAACGGATAAAATAATTATGTCCAACTATTATCAAATTCATTGACTCCACCGAAGATTTAGAGCGCGTAGTAAATACGCTTTTAAGAAAAGTCTTAAGCATAAAAATTCACTTGGCACCATTCCACCCATACACTGTTCAAAATAACCACATGTCCCGATAGTTTACTAGCTCTATAATGCGTTTACCTCAATAAATTAAAATCATCTTATGACGCTGTCTATATACTGTAAAGCACATTCACAGCTCTGTTAACTAGAACAACACAACATTAACGAATCATGGTAAACCACATAATCCTGACACTTTGTACTACCCGATACCGTTTGCATAGAAAGTTAATGACACTGATCTGCAAACACTGGAATAACCTAAACAGTGGATTTCTCGCCGAAGTCGAGGAAGGAGTTTGGGCAGCCACACCGTCATGATGGGAATTCCTATGTAATAAGTCCAACTGAATGTCGGAAGAGCTGGTCTGTTCGGATAACCTGTCTGAAAAGATTTACAATAACCACAAGGACGAGATGAGAGCAAAACTCAGAACCTCAAGCGGGCTTCGAACTCTCGATTACAAGTGATAACTCAGAATAAGCAGTGTATAAAAGTTACGGGATAATGATTTTGACCGCAGCTTTGTGCTCTATGCCAACTTCTACCTCCTAAATCATTTCCGTTGACGAGTGAAAGAGTAAAGAAAACTATCTGAGAGAATTTAAAGCAAAGACCTCGGTTGGGAGAGTGGATAGCACGTTAGCCTCGATACAGGTAGTCACAAATTCGAGGCCCAACTGTGCTTCCTCAGGTTTGCTCATATTTCAGTACCCTTGTTACATCTCACACAGCACCTTTCTATGAAAAAAGCACAAGCAGCAAGTTAAAGTTGAGACATTAACAATAACGATAAAAGTGACCACAATTTCAAATATACTCCAATGAATATAAGGACTACGATTGGTAACCAGAAAAAAAGGAGAGAAATTTCACAAACCTATCCTCGGAAGCTTCCCCCGGCTTGCGGATCGTCGATTGAAAAAAGGGGACTTAACTACTACACTTTTAGTTTCTGCTCTTTCGCGGCTTGACGTTGCATAGAAGACGTGGCCCTTTCAACAATAAACTATTTGACGTACTAAAACGTGGATTATAGAGAGAGAACTTGATGCTAACACTTACTTTTCTGCATTTGATAAATAAGTCAACCAAAGCATCGACGTTGCGCATTGAATGGGATGCTTGAAGCACGCCTACTGTGCGGATAAAAAAACTTGCAAAACGAGGATCTCTCGTTTTCACTGAAAAAATGAATCAGTGCTGACGATAAACATGTAATTTCCGAAGATTTCGGCTAGTTTCGAAGCAACTATGACCACGACTGCAAAGCAAACGATGAATCACATAGATTAGAAAATAACCTTTCTCTAGTTGCACCTAAGGATAATTTTCTCATAGCCAGTTTAAACAATAAAGTTGTTTTCATCTTATATCATAACATAACTTTGCATCGAACACACCATGTGCTACTCATACCCTGTAGTATTCCCACGCAGATGGAAATTAACGACCAGCATAAATAGGTTCACAGGTAAAAGATTGAGCAACAAATTCCCGCGCAGCCAGGACAACCATCTAGAGATCATTAACCAATATGCAGGGAGCGTGCGGAGCAGTGGTTGAAGGCACCCTGCGGAACACACGTTAAATCGATCCCGAGGCTCGTTGCTCACCTAGCCTTCCATACCTCCGGGCTCGGCAAATTGGTATCACACTTATCTGGGAGGATGACAGCACTTGCCCAATACATCGGCAGGTAACGGCGAGTCATCGTAAGCGCCAGATATGCACTCAATCACCTCCAACGATGCTTCATGATGTCGAATTCATGGCACATCCCTCAGGTTTTGATCAGCGCATACAGCGTTATCCTTTATGCCAAACTCGATGAAATTTTGGTTAACAAATAGGCAGAGAGGAAAAACATAGCTAACGGACTTTTCGTAGCAAACTTTATCATCTCTCTTCCAACTTCTTCGTGACTCGCATTATTCTGACAGAAGATACTTTCAGCACAATCCTGTCGCGATGCTAAAATGAAATATTACAAAAGTTATGCACTTAGTAAGCTCTTATTTTCGAACAACTATAAAACTCGAACATCGAAGCTGGGAAAGAACATTAAAAACTGACTAATATGGGAACATCCAAAAGCGTTAATAAGTTCATCGATAGCCTCAACTTGTGCACTTGAAAGGTTTTTAGACATGCTAAAACACTGAATAGAAACTACACGTTCCTTCAGAAATGCAGCGAGAAAGCAGAATGAATAGGTCCTCTACCAATCAAGAATTGTTTAACGCAAGATGTTCATTTTTATTGGCTGAGTATATGTCACATGATAAAAGCGAAAAAACAATCTAACAGGCTAGACGTCACCATACACCACGAGAAACATGAAAATGACGAAATAAGGACATATTTACGAAAAACTTTAACGATAATCGACGGACGTCAGTTCTTTTTGTGTCCGAATTTCTTCCGTTCGTAAAACAAATCCGTCTTTGCACTTCCCAGGTTAACGATTTTCGGACATCCATCTCTGTCCTGTGATAAAAGCAGGGTAGTTTGTAAACTTGTAGTTTGAAGATAATGAGAAAATCACTAGTCTGGTAAATTTAGAACGAATAAGGTGATCTCACATACGGCGCAGATTTACTTCATTCGGAGCATACATGATTTTTATGAAGTATTTTTCAATTCTAAAAACCGTCTGCAATTCCCAAATAGATACAAAGGAACTGTAAATGAAATTTAAACTTGTGAAAATTCCAACCCAAGCGTGGCGGACAGATATATTAATGATACATTCAGACACAACACCCGTTCAATTTCACGAAGTCCAGACTGTTTAATTACTTTAGTATTCAAAATATGACCCTAGAAGAAGGAAAGTAGAAGACACAAGTTCCCCGGATTTCAGAAGATCAGATGGAGTTACTGCCTCCTGTTATTTTCGTCAAAAAAAAACCCGTTAGTTTCACAGTATATTGATTGAGGCCAATGTATACAGTCCATTATGCAATAAAATGAATCTATAGAGTGGAATACCTTTTCCATGATCGTACACTCTTTACAGTAATACGCTTCGCTAACGCCTGGGCCACCACATATAACACAACGACCCTAGAAATGGATAGACATTTAGGATATAATTGGAACACACATCTGAATTGGGAACAAAAAATTCTAACAAAAATAGCTTGAACATGAACCTGGTAAGAACCATAGTTGCACTCATCACAAATTCGAACGAGGGAGCATGGTCTTACGTAAGAGTCACAAATTACACATCGTCCGTCACCTAAAAAGATGTTGCTGTACCATCAAACTGACGGAAACGGATCGATAAAACAGCTTCCTAGGTCAAAGAAAATCATTTGCAAAGTATGCAATAAGTGTGCTTACAACGGTTTACCGTTTATCTCATCGTGAATGGGAAGGATTCCTAAGCGTCGAGCAGGGATGTTCAGCGGGGATTCATCTCCCTAGCACGGTGTCCAAAAATACCAGGATCCACCACCGTCTTGGTATCAAACTAATCGCATGATGGCAAATCTCGCTCTGGGCCACAAGGGCGGCGACTGCCTGTGGTGGTGAAGGCCTGGGGTAGACTTTGGCCTAGCTGACCTAGGACTCTAGGGAAGTAGAATGGCTAAACCAGTAAAACTCAAAAAAAATGTAAATTATGCTGGGACGTGCACAACCAATGAGAACGAGACATCCAAGCATCCAAACAGGTAAGTGAGACGAAAGTTTTAAAAAGGCAGAAAATCAAGCTAATGGCAATCGGAGGTTCCACATGGGGACCAAATTCAAGGATAAAGACAACTGAAGATAGGATTTTATCCACATACTCACATTTTTCACATAAACGTCCTATGGCAACACCAGGCTGCTTTCTGCAGAAGATCAAATCCGGATGATGCTTGGCCATGATGTCACAGAAGAAGCTGGAAACAGATTTCGCAGAATGTACCCAGTCATGGCTAAACCAGCAAAGCTACGAAACAACGGAAATTGTGTTAGGGCCCGCACAACCAGTGAAGAAGGGCCATCTAGGTATCCAAGTGAGTAACTAGCTACCTGTATCTAACCAGTAAGACCTAATTTGAAAATATTTTAAAAAATAAGACGATGACACGTGAAGTGAACAGATTTTCAAGCCAAAGTTTGCCGCGAGAATTACTGTGTACGGAAATCTTAAGATCTTGTTTAGAGCACAGTATTTCATTCTTCGTCTTCAATACACGCGGTGTAGTCTAGTGGCTGCAGGTTCCCAACATTACACACATGATCCATAGTTCAATATTACGTCGTCCTGGGCAAACCAATCTCTGTACCTCTCTGGTGTTTTCAAATTAGCATCAGACTTGCTTGATGCATTCAAAATAGAAAAAGACGCTGACTTCTGATGATAGCTGAATAGGCGTACACAAGTCTGTATGAGGTAAGTATTCATATTATATTTATATTTATTATTATTTATTATTATATTTGTATTTATTTTATAATAATATTTATTCACTCATTCTAAGTCCGTTTGCCACTTCCTTATATCATCACCGTTTTTGGTATTCTTAGCGAATTCCTTGTTGCTTTCCTCTCCTCCACTAACGGAACAGGATTTTCATCCAGGATTTCAAATTCACTCATCCAAATTGCAACACACCTGCGAATTTACAGGTTATGTAATCTCTCCTCTATCTTTAAACTCTTTACCAGTTTTACAATGCTGACCACGGACCTCCCTCATAGGAGGGATCTCGAGCCGGTTAGTCGCGAGGCTACGTGGAGCGTCCCCAGGTGGCGGATAGGAGCTTCATCGCGGACCAAAAGCAACCTTTGGATCCTTTGGATCAAGTGGATCCAGGGAATGGACTCCCTCCTTCTGATGCGCCGATTTGGCGCATACTTTTGTATTTGCGAGGGTTATTCATGAATGCGTGTGTGGGGGTGTTCTAGATTATCCCGATTGTATTCCACAAGTCAAGTCGGGCAAAAGCCTGTAATCAAGTGACCTGACAGTACATGGAAGGCGGTTAGAAGTTGTCTCCAAAGATTTAACTTCCTCACCTACTCTTGGAGAAACTAGGAAGCTATACCCGTGAGTAAACCAGTCCGCACGTTCAGAGCCCAGCAAACTATACGTCGGTATCAAAGTGCTAAACACAATAAGTGAAACGGCCCTCGTTTCCCTGACCCCGGAGCTCCCAATTCGGCAGCGTTGAGAAGAACGAGTACGGAGAGGCCGCTAGAAGCACAGGGCCGTTCTAAGCCGCTTAAATCGCAAAGAACTAAGGTGAAGATCTGTACCTACAATGCACGCGCACTCATCCGAGTCCTCGATCGTGGAGACGATCATGCAAGCAAGAAGGATAGGGAACGACGTCATTGGCGACGAGACCTACTGAACGCCGTCTGACACCGAAAAAGAACTGTTCCTCGGAACAGAGGAGTTGGCGGCGTCGGCGTTTTCGTCAACACAAGTTTGTTCATGAACATCGAATCATTCGACCAACTAACAACCCGAATCGGGCGTTTATGATTAAAAAGATGTGAATCAATACCGGCTTTGTCAATCTTCGTCGTTTACGCGCCGACATCAAACTATGACGAAGCAGTTGGAGCGTTCTATATGGACTTGGAGGGGTTATACGTAGAAAACCACATTCTTCAAGGTCATCATTGGAGATTTCAACGCCAAGATTGGACCAAGAAGAACGTCTGAAGAACGCCACATTGGAACCCACGGAATAGAATGGAACGAACAGGGTGAGCGACTATCTGAATTTATCACGGCGACCAAGAGAATCCATGGTGACTCGCAATTCCAGAAGCCCCACACTCAGCGCTGAACGAGGGAGTCTTTCAATGGAGAGTACCATAACGAAATAGACCACATCATAATAAATAGAAGGTTTTGCCTAGTCGATGTCACTGTTATCCCAAAATTCTACACGGGATCAGACCATCGTCTCCTTCGTGCAGGATTCTACTTCTCGCGTAAAGAAGCAAATGCCGCTAAGCTCAAAAATCGAAGTCCCAGAACCACCGTAAACTGGGATTTATTCAATTCATTAGTCGGCTGTTGGGAAGATGCCGTTGTCGATAACATCGGCGAAGAATACAATCGGCTCATTCAACATCTTCACGCTAGCGCTATGAAAGCTGAGAGTTCGAAAGTCACCAAGAGACGTCTGTCTCCAGAAACATTCGAGTTGATACGCCAGCGTGGAATCGCACGAGCTGCAGGCAACCGCGAACTAACGTCCGAACTTGCAAAACAGCGTGGAAAGGCGATAAAAGAAGATCTTAATGAGAGAAGAGCAGCAATGGACGAAGCTGCAGAGGCTGGGAAAAACATTCGCAAAGCCCACCGAAGCTTCACCAACTACAAGACCAAAATGATTGCTCTCTGCGCCCAGACGGAACAGTTACAGCGTCCAGATAGGCAATGGAAAAAGTCGTTCACGAATACTACTCGGATTTCTTCGACAGCCAAGTCTACCTTCCGCCATATGAAATAAAGGAGGATGGATATGTTGTAGCACCGGTTATCCCTTCCGAAATCCGACGTGCCATTTCGTCGGTGAAAAATCGAACAGCACCGAGTCCGGACAGGATAAGACCAGAACACCTGAAGAACCTTTTGTCAGCCCTCGTAAACACACTGGCTCGGCTCTTCACACGTTACCTGTCTGAATACAAGGTCCCTATTCAGTGGAAGACCAGAAGACCGTGTTATTGTTCGAGAAAGGTTACCTGCACAATGTCGGCAAATATCGCCCAATCCGCTTACTGTCTGTCATCTACAAACTTTTCACTTGAGTCATCATAAACAGGATTGACAGAACAATAAACGATGGAGAGCCATGTGAACAAGCAAGGTTTCGAAGAGGATTTAGTACGATGGACCACATCCACGCGATAACACGGCTCATTGAAGTATCGCGAGAGTACAAAAGACCACTCTGTCTCGCTTTCATCGATTTACAGAAGGCCTTTGATTCAGTTGAGATAGAAGCAGTCATGGAAGCCCTTGGTAGTCAAGGAGTCCCTATTCGGTACATAAAGATTCTTCGTGAGCCGTACAAAAATTTCATAACCAAGATATCACCCACCATTCTACAACAATATTAACATTGACGTCAAAAGAGGAGTTCGGCAAGGCGATACCATCTCGCCAAAATTGTTTACCGCCACCCTCCAGAACGTCATGCGAACATTGGAATGTGATAATATGGGAGTGAAAATCGATGGTCGGCAGTTACACTATCTTCCCTTTGCTGATAACATCGTCCTTATAACACCAAACATTAACCAAGCGGAACGTATGCTTGACGACTTTGATAAAGCCTGTGGAAAGATTGGTCTTCGACTATGTCTCACAAAAACGATGTTCATGAAGAACGGATTGGTTTCGCATGCCCCATTTACGCTCTACGAAACGAATATCACCGAATGCTCCAATTATATCTATCTAGATCGGGAAATCAATGTGATGAACGACTTAGCTCCAAGGCTGAGCAGAAGAAAACGAGCGGCTTGGAGATCTTTCGAGAGCGTCGAGGATGTAGTGAAGAGAACAAAGAACACCGGACTACGTGCCCACCTTTTCGACTCAACGGTTCTTCCTGCCCTAACGTAGGCGTCGTAGACTTGGTCGCTGCGTAAGCAGGATGAAAGGTCAGTCAGCGTTGTCGAACGCGCAGTCGAAGGAACGATGCTGGGATTATCCCGTTCCACACAAATAATGCGTATGAATGACAACCAATGGAGAAGAGCCGTTAGTGACTGGATTCGTCGGGATGTCAAACGTACTGCAGGAAGACCACTGACCCGATGGCCAGAGTTCATCACAAAGAGCCTTGAAGAAAGATATGATGCTCAACGAATCCCTAGAGCTAGCAGAACCCACTGGGCTACTCTTGCACGCGACAGGTGAAAGTGGGAGATTACTGGTGCCCGCTCGAGCCATTCAACGTTCAAAGGAACTACAGGTGATCCAGGTGATAATGCTGAGATATTTGCAAAACTCCGGACCGCAGGTGTCTCTCAGCTTGTTCTGTCGATCTTTTTACCATCAGAAATCACCCTTATTTACTTTATATGTTTTTATATATCTTATATATTATCTTTACCAGTTGTTTTTTAGCCTACTTATCTTAATCTTTTTTATTTCACTGCTCTTCTGTGGTGTTCTCCTTCTTTGTGGTTTACATTTAATCACAAGTTCAGTTACATTCCACATTACGCCGATACATTCTATTTAAAGTCATTGGAGCAAATAAAAGCTCCCTTTCATGGCTTGAAAACAATTTTTCAAACTTCGCTTTTTGATATATGTGTGAGCGCATATATAAATATGCATCCGTAGACGGAAAGAGTGGACTACATGTAGTGATTTCAATGCATATTGTCTCCGACTACTTATTTTTGCTGTAGTTTATTTGCCACAGCTTTTATACTCAGTGTGGTTGGTTCATGAAAAGCTATTCTCTGCACTTAGTAATTTCATAAAGGATCCTTTTTTGGACGGATTTCTCAGTCCACACCGAACCGGTCAGGAAATTAAACGCGCTACCAAGGTTAACACTGGCGACTACGTGACCTCTATAGGAGTCATGAGGTCCAACAATAATACCTGTTTTCAACTTCAAGTCAGCACACCTCAGCACATTGTGAATTTTCTAATTGTATTGAAAGCTACATTAGAACCAAAAAATTATTGCCTATGGGATAAAAATGTCTCTTGTTTTACCATATGAAATTCTGATTTTCTACAGTATTTGACATCTCGCCTATATCACCTGTAGTCAAGTTGACCGTCGAGTAACTCGAGCGAGCGGGCGCCAGTAAATCTTTCTTTTTTCCTGTCGCATACAAAAGTATCCCAGTGGGTTCTGCTCGCTCTAGAAACTCGTCGAGCATCAT